TTCCCTTATTCCTTTTCTGCTCTACTACTTATAGTTTTACAATCTTGATTGTTACAGTTGTTACAAGTGGATGGCAGTTGTTACAAGTGGTTGGTTAGTTGTGCTGATGTGGCCTCCTCTTGTAAAACTGATTAACTGCCTTTTGTTCCTCTTGTAAAACTGATTAACTGCCTTCTGTTCCTCTTGTAAAACTGATTAACTGCCTTCTATTGGTTTGTTCCAGCAGTCTTGACAATCAACTTCTATATATTTTGTTCTCTCATGGAAAACTAGATTGCAAGAAATGTGAACTATAGCTTGGTTGTCACAATATAGCTTCATAGAGGTATCAATCGAATACCCCATCTCCTGTAAGAGGTTCCTCAACTACACTAGTTCACAATATGCTTCTGCATTGCTTCTTGCTACCACCATCTACTTCTTGCTCTTCCATGTCACCAAATTGCCCCCAAGAAAAGTACAATATTGAACTAGCCCCCTGTCAGATATTGAACAGACCAATCAACATTAATGGATCCCTTTATCTCAAGGCTTCCTCCACTCTTATATAACAAGCCACGACTTGGAGCAGCTCCCTTCAAGTGCCATACAATCCTTAGAACTGCATCCCAATGTGGAATCCAAGCATTTTGCATAAACCGACTCACCACACTAACTGCAAATGAGATATTTGGCTGAGTAATGGTTAGGTAGTTCAACTTACCCACCAACCTTGTGTACCTTCCAAGGTCTTCAAACTCCTCATCTACATCACTACTCAACTTGACATTTGGTTCCATGGGTGTTTTAGCTGGTTTGTCACCCAACAATCCTGTCTCCTCTAACAGATCAAGAATATACTTCCTTTGACACAGATTAATACCATAAGACAAAAGATAGATTTCTCTAGTCGGCCAAATTGTTATTTATAGAGTTTCTAATTAAAACATAAAGACTGTTGTGCCCCTGCTTAAGTGTGGGGCACCACTTAACCTAAGATATAATAAATATTACACCAAACTCTTAACATAAAACAAAATGACCAAAACACCCCTCTACAGCCGACTCTTAACAAGTATTGTTAATTGTATGACTTCCATTAACCATTAAACGGTAATTTCAAGTTTTCGACTTATGCATAATTTATATTCCTTGAAGCTTTGTATTGACATAATAGTTAACAATCTCACAAGCGTAGAAACTAACATAGAAGACTGAATTAAGTGACTAAAAATTTGGTAAGATCATGGAATTGAACGAAACCTCCATCTTTAAGCTGAAGTTGCACATCATCTCCATTTTTCTTGTCATGCAATGTCTCACCACGCAAAATAAGCTTCAAATGATCAACCGGTAAATGGCCATCTTTTGCAATCAAATTTCTTAAATCCTGGACCTGATCATGGTACAAATGAACATGGTTTTGCAATGTTAAATATCGTGAATATCATCTAATCAAACACAAGAACTAGATAGAAGTTTCTTGACAGTTCTCAGAAAAATTTAATGTCCTACAAAACTAACTAAAGATGGTTGTGGATAACTTATTTATTGGATCCTGTACTTTTGCATTAAACATTTTACACAAGACAAATTCAATAAAGTTTATAGGGAAATACCTTAATCAAGTTACAAAAATATTGCTAGTTAATTAAAAAGGTTTTAGGATTGCATTTATGTCATTCAAAACACTTATAGACATGTTCAAAAGAAAAGATAAAAAAAGAAAAACCATAAGTGAATCTCTCAACAAAAACAGCCTAAGTAAACTACAAGGTATTTAGATTCTTTTCCAAATTAAGGAGGTGCACAAAACATCAGAAAACATTTCAATTTATTTGTTTCAACAGCCAATAAATTTTCAGTGCACATTTAACATGAACTTTCCATGTTCTAATTTAACAAGCATGCCAAAGTAGCTGAAAGATTCTACCCACACCAAAAAGTTACTTGAAGCAATTGCATGATATTTATGTGCGCAATTTAACCATATGCTAAGATACTTAAATTTTCTATGCATGTAATAAAGTGCAAAGAACAGGTGTAATAACTTCACAAAGAACTTCCATTGGATAAGGAACAAAACATGAGCGAGATAAGAACTCTGGCAAGGGAGATGAATGCAAGATTTACATGGATGCATAGATTAGTCAATGACATAGCTGATTCTCTCTTTCTTTCTTCCCCCTCTTATCTCTTTCATCTACCTATCAGGCCCTCATATGTTATTATTCTTAATTATAGAAAGTATTGACTAGAAAGTAGAAAGAACTAAATTATTTAAGTGCTCATAATTTAACAATGGATATGATACTGAACACACTGAATGGTGAAAGAGAATTAATGTAGCCAACCCCATATGGGATAAGGCTTAGATGGAATGGCAAAACAAGATTCATGCAGACGACTACATATTGTTCGGACAAGTCTTAAACAATATGGCATTGAACAAGACAGAGTGGCATAACACAATTAATATAACCTAAGGGCAGAGCCTTTGCTTAAAGGGAAGCAAGAAGCCTAATCTCTGTTCAGTGTATAGTTGCATAAAAGAACAAAGCATTGCTCACATGACACAGAACTGGGACTTGATTATGATGAGACACTACTGATACCATAAACCTTGATTAATTCAGTCCTGAAAGCTATGGCTATTAATAGGGGTGCTCATGAAAAATCGGAAAACTGAACAGAAACTGGAAAATCTGAACTGAAAAATCCAGTTAACTGAACCAATCAGTTTGGTTGGTTAACTTATTAAAAAAAACTGCAGCTAATAAAAATAACCAGTATACATATAGAATATATATCACAAAAATAAAAACCAAACTGGTCAGCCAGCTAACCAATTGATTCGGTTCAGTTACAATTTGAATTCTTAAGAAACTGATACGAACAATCCAGTTTCAAAAATATGCTCACGGTTCGGTTGCACCCCTAGCTATCATAGAGAACCATAATGGCCATATTATAGAGCAGAGGAGAAACATAAGACTGAACTGAATGTTGGAGTGTGTAAAATTTCTATTTGATTCTAGGTTAAAGTAGAGAAAAAGAAGAGAAAGAAGAAGAGAAGAAGAAGAAGAAGAAGAAGAAGAAGAAGAAGGAGGAGAAGGGTTCGGTCAAATGAGGAAAATCAGTCCTCTCTAGTCGACCCACTTGTATTTATCTCAAAATAAGTTTGGTTACAAGAAAGACTATATTGCCCCTCATAAGTGATGGGACACACAACTTAGACCTGAATAAAATAGACCTTTCACTCTCACACAGATACACTCAAATGACCAAAATACCCCTGTTTTGTGAACTCTAACACTCCCCCTCAATCTGGAGAGTATATGTCATATAGTCTCGGCTTGTCGCAAATATAATCTACTTTGCCTCAAAACAATCCCTTTGTAAAGAGATCTGCCCTCTGATATCCCGAGCTCACATGAGATGTGGTTATCACTTTACTGATCACTTTCTCTCTTACAAAGTGACAATCAACCTCAATATGCTTGGTTCTCTCATGGAATACTGGATTGGAAAAGATGTGAACAGCTGCTTGGTTATCACAGTATAGTCTCATGGGTTTGTCAACTGAGAACCCCATCTCTTGTAGCAAGTTCTTCAACCATACCAGTTCACATGTGGTATGAGCCATAGCTCTGTACTCAGCTTCTACACTACTTCTTGCCACCACTGCTTGTTTCTTGCTCTTCCAAGTTACAAGATTGCCACCAAGGAAGGTACAATACCTTGTAGTTGATCTCCTGTCTGATACAAAACTAGCCCAATCAGCGTCTGTATACCCTACTATCTCAAGGGGCCCTCCACTTTTATATAGCAAACCACGGCCTAGAGCACCCTTCAAGTACCTAACAATCCTTAGAACTGCTTCCCAATGAGGAATCCGAGGATGTTGCATAAACTGACTCACCATACTCACAACAAATGATATATTTGGACGAATAATGGTCAGATAATTCAACTTTCCCACCAACCTCCTGTATCTTCTAGGATCATCAAACTCCTCACCTGCATCAACACTCAACTTGACATTCAGTTCCATAGAAGTCTCTACTGGTTTAGCACCTAACAAGATTTTCATATTGAAGTGGTCTTGTAGAAATTTCTTCAACCTGTCAATCCCATTACTGTCACTCCCGGTTGTGACAACATCATCCACATACACCACTAGAAAGATTTTCCCATCTTTTGAGTCATGGCTAAACACAATTTTCTACCAGACACTATTTCATCCCAAAGTTTTTCACTACTTCACTAAACCGGCCAAACCACGCTTGTGGAGATTGTTTCAATCCATAAATTGCCTTTTTGAGTCTACAAACCTTACCATCCTCCCCCTGAGAAACAAACTTGGTGGTTGCTCCATATACACCTCCTCAATGAGATCACCATGCAGAAAGGCATTTTTACTATCTAGTTGCAAAAGAGGCCAACCATACATAGTAGCTAAGGAAATCAGCACCCAAACTAAACCAATTTTAGCCACAAGAGAAAATATCTCCATATAGTCCACACTATACAACTGAGAATAGCCCTTGGCCACTAACCTGGCCTTCAATTGTTCCACACTGCCATTTAGGAGATACTTCACTGTGTAGACCCACTTACACCCAACAACATGCTTACCAGGAGGAAGAGCAGTGAGTTCCCACGTGTGGTTGTGTTGTAGAGCAGATAATTCCTCTTCTATTGCTTGCCGCCACCCTGGGGAGGTAAGGGCTTCCTAGACAGTCTTGGGAATGGAAACAGATGATAGCAATGATATAAAGTTGCGATGAGAAGCAGAAAGGTGAGCAACGGAAACATAGTGGGAAATAGGATGAGAAGTACAAGTGCGTTTACTTTTCCGCAAGGCAATGGGAAGATCAAGGTCCGAGGGAGAAGAAGCAACCACAGGATCTGTCAACGAGGGCTGGATTGGAGGAGGAGCCGGTGCGCTTCCGTGTGTATACACTTGTCTAATTGGTGGCCTCTCAGTAGTAACTGGCATGGGAGGAGGAACTACAAGGGGAACTGCAACTAGAATGGGAACCACGGGAAGAGGATCCTCAACAGGGACAGGAAGAGGAACTACGGGGGAAGGAGAAGGAACCACAATGTCCGAGAAAAAAAAAACAATTCAAAGAAGGTGACATCGGAGCACACAAATGACTTATGGGAGTTAGGGTTATAGCACTTATACCCTTTCTGAGTCCTGGAGTATCCAAGGAAGATACACTTAATAGCTCGTGCATCTAATTTGTCTAAACCAAGACCCAAATTTTGAACAAAGCAAACACACCCAAAGACTCTCGGGGTAAGAGGAAACGGGGACAAGGTGGGAAACAACACGGAGAAGGGGGATTGACTTCCAAAGATGGACATGGGCATCCGATTGATGAGAAAACATGATGTGAGGACAGCATCACTCCAAAAACGCTTTGGAACATTCATATTAAGCATCATAGACCGAGCAGTTTCAAAGAGATGTTGATTTTTGCATTCAACTACACTGTTCTGTTGTGGGGTGTAGGAACATGAGGTTTGATGAATTATCCCATGATGCTCTAAGTATTGCTGAAATGGTGTTGAGATGTACTCTTTTGCATTACTAGAGCGAAGAATTTTAATATGAACACCAAACTGTGTACGTATTTTAGCATAAAATGTCTGAAAAATGGAGAACAATTCACTCTTTCATAAGATAAATCCATGTCATTCTTGAAAAGTCATCAACAAAAATTACAAAATACTTATAGCCATTGTGTGAAATCACTTTGATTGGACCCCAAACATCAGAATGAACTAAAGAAAAATGACTAAAACACGACTATCAACTCTTTGACTGAAAGAGACTCTATGATGTTTCCCAAGTTGACACGATTCACAATCCAACGATGAAAGATGACTCAAATAAGGAACCAGCAACTTCAAAGTTTTGAGAAAAGGATGACCAAGTCTGCAGTGCCATTGAAGAGGAGTAAGAGACAACTGAAAGGCAACTAGAGGGCCACCACCATCAAGGTAATACAATCCACCTGCCTCATGCCCTCCACCAATCTTCATCCCCGTCTTGAGATCCTAAAACACACAAGAAGAGGGATAAAAGGTTATGGAACAATTAAGTGACTTTGTTAATCTACTAACAGACACAAGGTTAAAAGGGAAATAGGGAACATATAAAACAGATGATAAGGATAATGAGAGATCAACATCACCAACACCACAAATGGGAGATGTAGAACCATTAGCAAGAGTAACTGTTTGAGAAGTGGAGGACTGAGAAAGAGAAGAGAATACATTTAGATTCCCAAACATATGGTTCAAGGCTCCGGAGTCAATGATCCAGTGTGAAGGTTTGGAAGCCAAGCAAGTCATACCTGAATGGGCAAGGGTAGTTGTGTTCTGCTGAGAAGATGTCTGAAGGAACTGCTCATAAACTGCACGAGGTACACTAACCATCTCCTACCCAGAAGCACCAATAGATGTGGAGGGAATCTAATCCGTTTGCTGATTTTCACTAACTGTACCACTGCCCTTAGTCACAGCATGGTTAGCCCAAGTGTTGGGTGGACCATGTAAATCATAGCAAAAATTAACAGTGTGCCCCTCTAATCCACAGTATGTACACTTCCTATGACCATTACTTCTTCCTTTACTACGACTTCCACTCCGGCCACCAGCACGGTTAAACATGGGACCATCTCGGTTTCTTGGAAGTCCACAACCACCACCACCACCACCACCTCTATTTCCACGGCCTCCACCCCTAGCCACCACTAAACCAGATCTGTCTGAGAGAGAATAATACTCTGTAGACTCAATAGATGTCCTCCTAAGACGGGCAAACACTTCTTCAAGTGAGGGAAGGGTAGTCCCCCCCCAGTATTTGTGCACGGACAGGTTCATATTCAGCCTTCAAACCCACCAGAAACCTCGTCACATCAAGTTGCTCACGTTGTTGTAGCTTAACCTGAACATCCGGTGTCAGAGGATGATACACGTTAAGCTCATTTCGGATATTCCTCAAACTTGCATAGTATTCTTCCAAGCTCTGGCTGCCTTGCTTCAGATTGAAGTACTCTTGGTACAACTGATACACCCTAGTTGTATTGTCTTGCCCAGAATACAGTTTCTTAGCATGACCCTAGATCTCTTTAGTTGTATCTAGGAACATAAAGTTCATACTGATTTTTGGCTCCATGCTATTCCACAACCATGTCATAATTTGAGCATCCTCCTGCTCCCAATCACTAAACCCTAGAGAGTCAGAGGAAGGTTTTTCCTCTCTCACATGCTTCACCTTCTTCTTGGCCTTTAAGAACACCTCCACCGACTTGGCCCAAGGCACATAGTTTCCACCATTCAGCTTAATGGATGTCATTTGAACATTCAGATAATCTAGAGAGATCATAACCCCAGTTTTGTTGTCACTACCATCTCCGGTTGACGACATTTTCAACTAAATCTGCTCACCTCACAAGGAAGTATGAACACCACCACAGAAATCAGTATGAACACCACCACACGACACAAGGTTTTACTTTCAACTATTCAGAATCATCCACACACCATTCAACACAATACAACCACCACCACACCACTACTGTCATGAACTTCAGCAGCCGAAAAACCCTACTTTCAGCACACATACGAGGTAAAAACAAAGGAGAACAAGGCTGATATGCATATTAATCACTTCACACCACCACAACAAAATATTTTGAACCAAAACACAGCATTTACAGTCCACTACTTGGGTGAAAAACAAAACTGTTCATACCTGTCCACAAACAACCCTCTTCGTATCACAGAATAGAGGGCATCTAGTACACCACCTCAACAACCACCACCATAGTAACTGGAAGCATACTCACCTCCAAAACCACAAAATGACCACTCCTTTTTGGCCTTTTGTCGAGCTTCCACTCAGGCTAGAAGAAAATCGAAGAAAGCTGAAATGGTTGGCGGTGAACCCAGGAAGAAGACAAATAATGAGGAAAGAAGAGAAAAAGGGAAAAGAGAACTAGGTTTTATCGCTCTAATACCATGTAAAATCCCTATTTGATTCTAGGTTAAAGTAAAGAAGAAGAAGAGAAGAAGAAGAGAAGAAGAAGACGAAGAAGAAGAAGGAGAAGAAGAAGAAGGGTTCGGCCAGATGAGGAAAATCAGTCCTCTCTAGTCAACCCACTTGTATTTATCTCAAAACAAGTTTGGTTACAAGAAAGACTATATTGCCCTCATAAGTGATGGGACACACAACTTAGACCTGAATAAAACAGACCTTTCACTCTCACACAGATACACCCAAATGACCAAAATACCCTTGTTCTGTGAAGTCTAACAGAGTGGAATAATTCAAAAGCTCCACATGTTTGGAACATAATTGTCCTTTTATCCCATTTATGAAAAATAACATCCTTAAAACAAGCAAATAACAGTGCCACTATCTCCAATTCACAACCATTTATCTTCCTTGCATGAGATAGTTGATCTTTTATTTCTATTCCCTATCACCTCCACATCATTCACCATAAAGGAGCTCCTAAAGACTGTTACCTCTTAATTCTCTAAATTAATTATAAGCGGGATATCATTATGTGCTGGTTAGCTTAGTTGGTAAAGTGTGGGTGAAGAATGAAACCAATGTCCTAGGACTAAATCCAGCATTTGTCGATCCTCAATACTGACTATGGACCAATGAGTCCTTGCATTCCCTCCCCCCCCCCCATTTACTCAATTTACACCTTAATCTAGGGGTGTTCAAATTTGGATGATTAACCAAAAACCAAACTAAACCGAAGTGAATAAGATAGTTGGGTTCGGTTAATTTGGATATTGGTCAAGTCGGTTTACATTTTCCTAAAATTTCGGTTTTTGGTTTCAGTTCGGTTTGGTGAAAATTTTCAACCAAGCCAAACCGGAAACTGAATTAATATAATATACATACTAATATGTTATATAAATATATATATTTATATCTTAAACCTAAGTTCATAACCCCTAAATACCCCCAACTAAATTTTAAATCCCCATTCCCATATCCCCACCACCTCACCCCACCCTATGTGCATGTCGTGTCCCATTCAAATTCTCAAAAAGAAAATCTAATCAATTAGGAAGTTGGAAATTGGAAGTGGAGGAGACAAAGACACTATCGCATACTCACGTTGAAGACTGAAGAGTAAACACTACAGAGGAAAAGCTGACTGCTTTAGTATAGGAACAGTTATCTTTTGCCTTGGTAATTGGTATTCCATTGCTTTGGCAACTCATTAATAGGCCCAACCCAACTGAAAACCAAACAGGATTCAGTTTGGTTTGGTTCAGTTCAATTTTGAGATCTAGTTCGGTTGATGATAATGGTTAACCTGAATAGTCGATTAGGTCTTAGTTCTAACTGAACTGACCAATTGTACACCCCTACCTTAATCCTTCTTTGATTACTTTTGTATTGTACAAACATGAGCACTAAAAATAATTTTTCACTTGGTATCTTATCAAGAGATAGGGACAGGCAAAAAAACACAGCATGGGTTGAGGTTGTAAAAAATGATATAAGAGACCACGATTTAACCATGGAAATGGCCCTACATAGAGTGGAATGGTGAAAAGGATGTAACCAACCTCATATGGTCTTGTTAAGTTGAATTGCATTTGGTAGATGACCATGAAATTTAGTGAAAGCCTTGGCCATAAATTAAACTGTTGGGATAGAATTCCAAACGTGAGGTTTATATCTTCCTTCGGGCCATTAACCTTTGTGTTTGGATTTCACACCCTGCCGGTAAGTTCTCAACCAAATCCTTTTTCAGGGCTTTTGTTCCAGGTCAGGATGACTCCAAGTTCCCTTTCAAACAGATTTGGTGTTCTCATTTTTCTTCCATAATTTCTTTTTTTTTTTTTTGTGTGTGTGGGAAGTGAGCTTGACGAGAATTAACACTTGTGACCTCATTCAAAGGAAGAACAGAGGCATAATTCCCTCATGTGTGCATTTTGTGCCTTTGGGACAGTGAATCAACTAGGCACATCCTTCTTCACTATCCAGAAACAAGGAAAATTTGGCATTTTTTATGAGTCTTGTGAGATACAGCTGGGTACATCCCAAGCACAGGGTGTACATTCTTTGACAGTGGCAGGGTAGAGGCCTTGGAAGAAGAGGAAAAACTTATTGCTGTACTATTGTACATGTTGTGATGTGGGGGTGTGCGAAGAAAGAAATAATCAAATATTTGAAAACAAATCCAGATCCTTTGAATACTTGCTTTCTCATTTAACTTACTTGTGTAACTTATGGGTGACGAACTCTATGGACATCAAAGGAGTTTTGGTGAGTGATTTGCAAAGGAATGTGTCTGAGTTTCTGTATTCCTCTCCTTTGACACCAATCTCCCTCCAGGTCCTTACCACACGGGAAGAGGTGGAGAAGTTAAGCTTCAAAGGAAGTTCTACAGGTAATCTGGGTGAATGGGGGGATTGGAAGTGTAATCCAAGAAAGAGATGGAAACATTTGTTGGACCTTTACTGGCCCAATTGGGTCTAATGACTGAACAAAGGCTTAGAATAGCAAGAGCTCTGGGTATAATTCGCCTAGCCACTGAAGGCGATTCAGCAAATACTATAAAATGGCTAGGAGAAAAGATGGTGGCGTGGAGGTTGGCTCACTATTTGGCTGAAGCAGGAGACATTACGGCTTCGATGAGTGTAGTTATTAGCTAGATCCCTAGGGAGTTAAACTCAGTGGCTGATGATTTAGCTAAAGCTGGTGTCCACAGAGACTTGTATGGTAACAGATCTCCTTCTATATATGTAGTTATTTTGGTGTTTTCTGGTTGGTTCTGTTAAACATATCTCATGTACTCTACTTTTTTTTTAATGAATTAGAAGTTACAGGAATGTCTGGCTTCGAGTCTTTCAAATTTTCGCGAGACCAAATTCAACAATTGAAACGTTGGATTAGATCATTAGACGGAAATTGCATCAGGTAGTGACATTCACAGGACTCAACCTAAATACCCATCTTACATAAAAGTAGATTCCTCATTCACTACCAATCTGAAATTATGATTTACTAATCTAATGACAGAACAAATTAAGAAGATGAGAGTGAATGCTTACTTTTATGGAAGACGGGACTTTGATGCGAGAGGGACGGGCGGGTCCAACGGTTTTAAGAACGATCTCAACCTCGTCTCTACTATCAGTTTTCTCAGAATTCTCTGCCATGCCACTTTACTTAATTCACCATCGCCTATTCGCCTGGGATTTCTGTATCTTTCTCCACCGCGGCCACAGCTGCCGCTGCCCGTTCGCCCTTGGTAAAAGAACTAAGAAAAGAATGGAAGATTGCTATTAACAACGTTGGTGCAGCTTTCTAATCTTTTAGCTGTCTCCGAATCTACTGTTAACAGAAACGTGTTTAACCGGCTACGTAACCAATCGTGAATAAACACGTCTGTATTCTGTACACATGGCACCCCAACACTATTGGGATC